GATCTGAGACTCTAGGCTAAGGTTCCGAAAAAAAGCTCATATAGGCTCATTTGACTAAAATATTGATTTTGAAAAAAAACTCATCGAGGCTCATTTGACGTAATTATTGATTTTGATAAAAGCTCATTAAGGCTCATTTAAAAAAAAACTCACGTCGACTCTTTTTCAAAAAAAAAAGGCTCATCTTCCCTATATATAAAACGCTAGACGCGTCTGTTGGTCCCGGTGTCAGTCTGTCCGGTTTTGGGTTTTTAAATGAAAGGTTGGCCGCCACCAAAACCAAAACAGCCGCCTGTCGCACAACGGCTTTTTTTTCGCACAACGGCTTTTCTTTTTTTTCGGACAGAATGAGCTTGGAAAACCATATCGCGCCTGAATTAAGCTTAAACTTCGTTGAACAGTTTGCAAGTACGGTACAAAACCGACAAAAAGATTTCTCCCCGGCCGGGAATTGAACCCGGGTCTCGCATGTGACAGACGCGGATACTCACCACTATACTACCGAGGACACGTGAGAGAGAAACATTAGTGGCGTTTAAAAAGCGACGGGCCACTGGCGGTTCACCGACGGCCGAGAGGCAACAACGTAAAGGATGTATGAAATAAAATAAAGCGTGTAGGAATCTATCCCTGAAGCTAGAATCTAATCTATTGCGACCACAAGACTAGATGAAAAGTAAAAATGGTAAATGAGGAGGGAGTTAACGATCCAGACAATAGAAATAATGGAATTTCGAAAATCATAAACAAATTCTTTTACAGTAATCGGAGCCACCACAACCACTCTCGCACCAACAACCCCAACCACCGCTGCACCCGGTACCTGCCAAGACAAGCTGAATCCCAAAACTGGAGTCAGTGATTGCCCAGGAATGAAGGCCTACTGTAACAACCCGGCTTATGTGAACGTCATGAAAGATCAGTGCCCGATGACCTGTGGATACTGTAAGTGGTTCATAGAGATTATATGCCCTACTTAAATGTTCAGGCACCGGTCCCAGTACTTGCTGTGACAAAATCAATCCACAGACTGGTGTCAGTGACTGTCCAGGAATGAAGGCATACTGTAACAATCCCATCTATCACGACGTGATGAAGGATCAGTGCCCAAAGACTTGTGGATATTGTTAAACGAATAAATTGTTTTATTATAAATTACATATTTTTCTTAAAATCAAAATCCAGTATCATAAAACATTTCCGGATGAGAATGCGCGATGGAGAACAAGTTGAACGTCTGTGCCACCTCGATTTTCGAGCGATTCTCCCAGATGTTTTTCTGAAAAATTCGAACTTTTCCAGAACCCTTTCAGTTGGTATGATACCTGTACAGCGTTATTAATTTTCATCAGTTTGGCTAATCTTCCTGAGTACCTATCCATCTTTTTATCATTCTGATAGTGATCATGAAGATTTGCAGCTAGGATATCTTGAAAGCGATCACAGATTCTTTCGATTTCTCCAGGAAATCGTTTTCCAGCGTAATGGAAGCAAAGTTGGGCGAGCATGTATGCCGATTCCACGTCGGATGGCTCCAGCTCGACTAATGGGTCGATTTCTTTTGTGAGCTCTCGAGCACGGACTCCGTCGATGAATCTGGGAAAAATTTGGTTTTCCTTTTTTTGGACGTTTTAGGACCTGTCATTTCGCAACATTGGAGTTTAAGTGTCGGCCATATTACAACCAGACGTTTCGAAACCGATTGTTTTTCAACGTACCATTTTGCTACTGACCGAACGCTTCAGAACAGGTCATTTGGCAACTAACCATTTCGCAACCCGGCGTTCTAAAACTGGTAATTTGCATCCGATCATTTTAAAACTGGAACCGTACGTTCTGGAACCGGCCATTTTGCAATTTACTATTTCGCACCCAAACATCTAAGACACGGTCATTTTTAGAACCAAGACGTTTCAGAAAGGATAATTTCCCAACCGAAATTTCTGAACCGGTCATTCAGCAAGTGACTATTTTGCAACCAAGCCTTAAACCGTAAATTACACAACCGGACGTTTTAGAACCAGTTGTTTCGCAATTGACCAATTTGCAACCAACCCGTTTTAGAACTACTTCCAACAATTCAAAACCTTACGTCAAAACTTGCTCCGGCTCATAATTAGTCATCCACTCTACATCCACCTCCTGCTTCTCCATGTCAATGAAAACTCCATTGCTCAGCGTTAGCAAATTTTTCGTTGGACAGATTCCACGTCTTCTATTGATTGCAGTTGCCAATAATTTGTCCAAACGCCCCCAAACGTGCCAAATCGCAAGAAGCAGTTTCATCTAGACCATTTTTTGATTTCTTGAAAAAATTCAAAATTTACCTGAAGATCATGATCCAATTTCTGAAACTCATCAAAATAGGTCAACCATTTGGCAACTGTTAGAAAATAAAACTCCCAAATTTTCATGACATCTTCTTTTGTTGAATGCGAAAAGTCTCTCATTTCTGTCGATGTATTTTTCAAATAACTGAACCCATTCGCCAATTTTTGTAATTGATCCCGAGCAATCAGTGGCTGCTCAGGACCATCTAGAAGAATTTTCGATGCCATATTCACTAGATAGCTAACGTCGATTATAGTTTTCGGCTTCAAATTTTCAGATGAGTCTTCAGATGATCCAGGTGTACAAAATAGAACATAATCAGGACGGCCAACGAAAACTTCAAAGGATCTTGAGAGTTTGTTTGGTACTTGAATTAATCCGTCTCGGTCGAATTGGAATTCTGAAACTATCTCATTCTGTTGAACTTTTAAAATTACAACATTTTTGAATAATGTAAATTCGCCCACTTTACAATTCACCCACCATATAAAACGCCTCACTTTGAGCTCAATTATCTCGGTTCCCATAGAAGATATCAAAAATTTGTCAACTGATAAAATGTTTATCATAATATCACCAAAATTTTATCAGTGATCAAAATTGTGATATCTCTTATAGGAGCCGAGATATTAGAGCTTAAAGTGAGCGTATAAGGTGGGCTTCTATTAAAGCAAGTAAGGTATTCGCACATCATTTAGAACGCCAGCTCAATAATCTCAATTTTTATGAGAGATATAAAAATCTGTCAAAAAAAATGTTCGAATTTTTATGGCAAACATTTTGTTAGTTGAGAAATTTTAGATAACTCTTACAAGAAATGAGATAATTGAGCTCTAAGCAAGGCCGTAAAAATCGCGACCACGCCCTTCCGCGACCGGCGCTAGATAGGAGGCACAGCCTTGGCGCAGGGTGCCGTTCTATTAGAGGTTGTACAGTATCCAAAAACTTTTGAATTTTCAAAATTAATGAATCTTCTAGATCCTCCGAATATCCTCTATCTATCAAAAACTCACTTTTTGTATCCATCCCTGCATCATAACACCTTTTCAGTCTACAAGGCTTACAATGATACATTCCTTTTCCAGGTTGGCATTTTTTGGGAGTTTGACATTTTTTCGGTGCCCATTTCGGGGATGTGGCAGTTCGTCTGAAATTATTAACATAGTAAATTGAGGACTTGAAGCTGCTGGGTCGGTTGAACTATGCTGTCGTAACTGCCGGGAGCATAAAGTTATAAAAAAAGAAATTTTTCAAAAAATTAATGATTGTGTTGCTGATAACTTCAGCTATCACTTACACTAAAGTGCCTCAGAATCGAAGGATTTTCAGCAAAGTTTTTAAACTTGATTTCCAAAAATTACCTGAAAAATGCCGAGCACGCTTTACATGACAGCACTCCGAAATGAGTTCCTTGACTTGGAAGACCACAAATTTCACAATCCGGTACCTCGTTTTCCATTCCAAAGTATTTGAAAATGTCTGAAATCTATCTATGGTAGTTTTTGGGTATAAAGATCAAAATCAAGAATTTCCGATCGTAGAAATAAAAACGATAAGAGGCAATGTGATAAGATGGTAATGAAAATAAAGAAAAGTGATTTTCGAATGAAAGAAAATTTATTGAAACAATTGAAAAATATTTTTAATGGAAAAAGGGAAACTATACAGAAAAAACAAGCAAAATTCAAGAAAGGAAGAGACGCAGACAAAGAAAAGAAAAATTATTTGAAACAAAAAATCAAAGAGAATCAGACTGTTGGAGACAATGTAAACACTTTCTGGTCTGGTTTTTTTGCATCACTTTTCGATCAAAAAGAAGTTGTAGTTTGTAGTTTGTATTTTCTAGCTGGGGCAGAATTTTACCGCTCAAAACCAACCTAGTGCCAAAACCATGTGATTTCAGAGTCATGACACTTTCAAACGGTTTATCTCATTTAATTGATTTTTTGCAAAAAAGTTGTCAATTACAAAAATTGAGTTCTATTTTTGTTTATTACACTCTGAAATTTTCTAGATCTAAAAATTCTAAACCATTTTTTCAGGACTCCAAAGTTGCTTTGTTTCAACTAGAACTAGATAAAATTAACTAAGTAGAAATAACTTTCAAAAACTAAAATCCTGTATCAAAAAAAATTTCGGGATGTGAAAATTCTGCAGTGAAAATATTGAGCGTTTTTGCGATCTCCGTTTTTGGACGTCGTTTTCTTACACTCTCCTGAAAAAAAGTTCCAAAAGTCAACAAAAATATTTTCCCATATTTAAAGACCATCGGGGAGTTGAACTTGTGAACAATATATTTGGAATCTCGCCAAGCAACCGACTGAGCTACGCAGGCCACCGTAGCTTAGCTGGTAGCAACGCTGCACCTCAGACGGTAGGCTCACAAGTTCAACTCCTTGAGGACCTTGTATGGACCAAATTTCAAGACATGCCGTAAACACTCTAATAGAACGCCACCCAAACATTCAACTTTGAGATGATATATCTCACTTTTCTTGAAAAGTATCGAAAAGTAGTCAACTGATAAAATGTTTATCATGATATCAGCAACATTTTATCAGTTGACCGTTTTTTGATATCTTTCAAAAGAAATGAGATATATAGGCTCAAACTTGACGATCCGGGTGGCGTTTTATTAGAGTGTTTACGGTATATATTTTTCATATCCCCCTTTAAAATCCTCACCTGCACCGCATTATTAATTTTCATCAGCCTACACAATCTTCCTGAATAATTGCTCATGTTTCTCTCATTCACGTAATAATGATGAAGATCATCAGACAGCACTTGTTGAAATCTTTCCATAATTTCTAGAATTCCTCCTTGAAATCGATTTCCGGCATAGTAGAAGCTCATTTGGGCGAGCATGTAATTGAGCTCGATTGGTGTCGGATCTAGGTCGATGAACATTTGAACAGTTTCCATTAGGTCCCAATTTCGGAATCCGTCGATGAAGCTGAAAAGTTGGAATTTCAGAATTTCAGAATTTCATAATTTGAGAATCTCAGGATCTTAGAATCTACGAATTTCAGAATCTCAGAATTAAAGAATCCAAGAATCTAAGAATCCTAGAATCCAAAGGTCCAAGAATCCTAGAATCCAAGAATCCGAGTATCCAAGAAACCAAGAATCCGGGAATCTAAATAATCTCAGCATTCCAGAATTCCATACTTTGAAAATCTCGGAATCTCGGAATAACGTAATCTTGGAAGTTCGAAAAACAAAAATCTCAGAATTTCAGGATCACCGAATTTAAAAATTTAAAAATTTCAGATTTTCAGAATCACTCACAATTCCACCTCTTCCAGACTATAATTACAAAGCCACGTCACATCCAATTCCAGTTTATCCACATCCAAAAACAATCCATTACTCTGAGCAATCTCAGATTTGGTGCTTAATTGGCTCCGCCTCCTGGCCAGCGCGGTCGACGCCAATTTGTCCATCCGCCCCCACATGTGCCAAATTCCAAATAGGATTTTCATTTTTATCGGATGACTCAATTTTTGGAATTCGTCGAAATTCGTAAGCCACGTGGCGGTTGTCAAGAAGTAGTACTCCCAACAATCCGAGCAGTCACCAGAGGAGAATGTGGAATTTGTCTGGAATTTTAAGAATTTTTTGTTGGTAAAAAATTGAAAAAAAATTCTCACCGCCATATTCCTTGGCATTTTTTCAAAAACATTATGAAAATTTGCCAGCCGATGAAGGGGTCCTTTGTTGGAATGGGGGCTCCAGCTAGGGCCAGATTTGATAAGTTGCTCTCCTTTTTGGACCAAAAATGATAAATCGATGAATTTGGAAGTCGTTGGCGCGTCTGGATCACAGAAATGTACAAATTGAGGTCGTCCGACAAATTTGTCGAAACTTCGGGGGATTCGGGTGGAACTGATGACGTCACGATCGTGTTGGAATTCTGAAATCCCAGGAAAACTCTCTTGAGAAGTTGATCCAACTTTTTAAGGAGCCGCGCTTAGCTACGCGGTTGCCCCTCCGCGTATCTCAACTAGCTCGTATTGAAACTACCGTAGAACCTGTAATTGAAGGGCTCCCGCACTGTCAAGTTTGAGCTAGTTTGTCTCGGTTCCTGTAATAGATAACAAAAATGTGCCAACTGATAAAATGTTTGACATTGTGATAAACAATTTGTCAGTTGACCACTTTTTTATATCTTTGACAAGAACCGAGATAACTTGCCTCAAAGTTAAAAACTGGGGATTTTTTGGATTTTTTTTCAATTCTCAAAACTCACTTCTCTCATCCATCCCAACTTTATAGCACTTTTTCAGTCGACACGGTTTGCATATAAAACTGAAAATTCGAAGATTTGAAATCTACAGTACCCCAGACTAAAATATTGTCGAATTAAAAAAAGTGGGACCTGAGAATTTGAAAGGCGTCGCTGATTTCCCATTGAATTCACAGAAATAAGTTTCGTTTACTACTGTAGTGATTTTAAGGCAAGGTCTCGAAAATTGACCGGGAAGCCGCCCGCGAAATTTTCCAGGTCCCACTTTTTTTAATTCGACAATACATATGTTATATTTAGACTTTTTGTAATAAAAAAATACCGTAAGACCTATAATAGAACAGTCCCTTAACTTTTGAATTTGAGTCAAATTATCTCAGTTCCAGTAAAAGAAACCAAAAAATTGTCAACTGATAAACTGCTTAACACAATATCACCAACATTTTATCAGTTCACAAAATTTTGATATCTTTAATGGAAACCGAGATAATTAAGCTTATAGGGCACTTATGAAGTCTACTATGACAGGTTTGAAGAAAGTCAAGTTTGGAATTCTACAAAAATAGTTCAGAATTTTTCAATATGCTTGAAAATTTCGGAGTATACCAAACAAAATAAGAACTTCGGTTTGTACTTGACAACTTTTTTGTAAAAAACCAAAAAACCGCGGAAAGCAGTTTTAAAAGGGCACAACTCTCATTACAGTGCGAATTTTGGCACTTATTGGGTTCCAAATGACATATCTCATCAGAATGGAATTTGGCGAAAAAATTGTCAATTACAAAAATGAAGCTCTATTTCCTTTTAGTATACTCTGAAATTTTCAGACAAATTGAAAAAATTTGGGAATACATTTCCAGGATTTCAAAGTTAACAAAAGGTAAAAAACTCACAAATCAACTCCACACCTGCTACTCATACACGATTTCTCAATAAGATCCGAACCGGCACGTCTTCTAAATTCTCCAAAAAGTTTACAATTTAAAAATTCAAGATGCAAACCTAAAAAACGCGGCACACGCTCTGCAACTGGACACTCCAAAATGCATACCCTGACTTTTGCGTTCACAGATTGTACAGAATTTCAGACAGATCATTTTGTCTGGAATTTTGTTGTAAGAACTTTCAAAAAGAAAGTAAAAATGGCAAACCACACAATAGTGAAAAGTCTAGACTTTGAGGGAGAGAAAGAGAGCGAGAGACGCAGAGAGTCAGAGAAGGGTATTGCACAACGTTGTGTGATTTTAGCGGACGGCGGGGGTGAGACAGTGTGGGAGATGAAGAGATTTAGAGAGGAGGAGGGAAAGACTACTCAAGTGTGAAATATGTACTTCGCTATGATCAGAAAGAAATTAAGACATGGAAAAATGGAAAAGAGAAAAAAAAGAAGAAAAACAAGTTTGTCTGTCTGTGTGTCTGTTTCTTCAGTGCTGGAATGCTGAAAATATCAAGAAAATGTGTGGAAAACTTGAAAAAAAAGTCAAAGTAAAAAAAATGCCTAAAAAGGTGCAAAATCAAAAACTACCGCAATCTACTTCTTACTAAGGAAACTTTTCTGTGTGTGTGTGTCTGTGTGTCCGTCTCGGACATTTACTTGAATAACTCAAGGGGACGTGGGACTCCTATAGTGGTGTGTGGTATGTAGTCATGGACTGCCGAGCGCTTCATGTCTATGGTGTCCTGGGCCTTCTAGCTTATAGGGAAGCTACAGTGTTGAGAATCGAAATTTTCAAAATTATGCTCAATCTCAATAAAACTTCATGAAATTTTGCAAAACGGTTTTTTGACCTATCTATGTGTTGCCTGCATAAAATTGAGCACAATTCTTCAGAACTGAAAAATTTTGAAAATTTCGTTTCTTTTGTATATCACTTGAATTTCGATCCTGTGGACTACTGGAAATGGGTCATAGTAGTTTCCTTTTGAATACAAGATTCTCAAGTTATACAGAAAATTCCAGAACATTCTAGAAAATTCCAGAAAATTCTACAACATTCTAGAAAATTCTAGAAAATTCCAGAAAATCCCAGAAAGTTCCAGAACATTCTCGAAACTTTTAAAAACTTCCAGAAAGATCCAGAAAATTCTAGAAAATTCCAGGAAGTTCCAGAACATTCTAGAAAATTCCAATAAATTCCAGAAAATTCCAGAACATTCTAGAAAATTCCAGAAAATCCCAGAAAGTTCCAGAACATTCTTGAAAATCCCAGAAAATTCCAGTTGAAAAAAGGGCAAACAATTCGGAGGGTACAAAAATTCGGGGGTACAAGGGGGTACAAAGCAATTTAAGGGGTAAAAAATCCGCAACTCGGGGTACAAAATACTGAAAAAGGCTCAGTTTTGTACCCCCAAACTAGGGTTCCGAAAAAAGCTCAGTCATGAGCTTAAGCTCACGTGGGCTCATCATGGAGCAGGTCATATGAGCCTTTTTCGACTCCACGTCAAAGCTCATACAGGCTCATTTGACGAAAATATTGATTTTGAAAAAAGCTCGTCGAGGCTCATTTGACGTAATTATTGATTTTGATAAAAGCTCATCGAGGCTCATTTTTAAAAAAACTCACGTTGACTCTTTTTCAAAAAAAAAAGGCTCACGGAAGCATAGTTCAAAAAATCCACTAGAAAAGTGTTCACGTGGCAAAAAATAATAAAAACCAACACTTCAGCCAAATATTCAAATAATCAAGTGCCCTGATGGGCAGAAACAATGGTGGCCTGAAAAATAAATAGTGGCCTAGAAAAATTATCTTGCAAAAATTAGGTCATCCTGTGGAAATAGCCTAGAAATCATATCAGGTGAATATCAAGCCATTCAAACGCCATTGCAAGTGAGTTTTCTAGGCCATCAAGTTTTATGGCCCAGAAATAGTCTGGCATGCACTTAAGATGCTTTCTAGCCTATTTTGACACAATGGCCTAACTTTTCCATGTTGAGTTGTTGAGTTCTTTAGGCCACCATTTTTATGGACCATAACTCGTCTGACATTCACCTGATAGGGTTTCTAGCTCATTTGGACACAATGATCTCACTTCTACATTTTGAGTAGTCTAGGACAACAACTTTTATGGTCTATCAATGATCTGGCATTCACCTCATTTGCTTTCTCGGCAACCGTGTTAAAAATTGCTTTGAAAACTCTATCAAAAAGTTAGGCCACCATATTAAAACGGTGATTTTTTCATGATATCAGTGACTTTTTAAAAAAAATTATTTTCCTTTCATTATTGATGATGAGCCATAATGAGCTTTTTATTGAAAATCACAGAATGAGCCTCATGAGCGTTTATGAGCTTTTTGATAAAGCTAAAAAAGAGTCACGTGAGCTTTTTTGTTTTTTTTTTTCAAAAAGCTCATTCAAAATCGAATGAGCCTTAATGAGCTATTTGAAAAGCTCATTTTCACGTAAAACCTCATCCCTCTTTTTCAAATTTGGAACCCTACCCCAAACTGTGAGTTTTGTACCCCTAAATCATTTTGTACCCCTTTGTACCCCCGAATTGTTGTACCCTCCAAAGGTTTTGCCTGAAAAAAAGGAGAAGCGTTCTCTATAAGTATACAGGTATTGTAATCACTTCCCTATTTTTTCAAGGTGATCTGAAACCAAAGGCTTAGAAGTAGGGCTGTGTGTGGGTTTCTTAAATATCTGAATTTCAGAAACCCTAACAATCAGTAATCAGAAAATCCAGGAACATTCTAGAAAAAAAAGAAATTCTACATGTGAGCATCTATTGTACGGTATTCAAAAATTCCTATATCGGGAAAATATAACTTTTGAAAATAAAGAAACTCGGAAATTTCGGACACACGGAAAGTGGGAATTTCTAAAATGAGGAATTCGAATGTAAGTAAACAAAACCAGGAGGTTGCGCCCCCGGCAGGGGGCTCAAACCGACTGGTATAAAATACTGAACATTTCCATTTTTTGTAACTTTCAGGGTACGGTAGGTTGCGTTCTGGGAAAACCACCGTAACCTAAAATTATTCGAATTTTTCAGGGGTTTTTAACTGTTTTCCGATAATTTTTCTACTATTTTTCGGGGAAAGTGGCAGAAGTTTTTTCGAAAAGCGATCAAAATCGCCAAAAATTGGACAAAAATCGCGAAAAAAAACATGAAAAACACGAAAAACGCAAAATTTTTAGGTTACGGTAGTTTTCGTTCCGGGACCTGTTTACGTCTTTTTTCAAAATGTTGTGATATTTTCAGTGTTTTTTTTTGCTTTAAATTCTACAAAAAAAAACAGAAAGGAATTCCGAGGAAAACTGCTATTTAGTTGGTTTTCGAATTTTTCCAGATTTTCGACTTTTTTCATTTTTCATTTTTCGAAAAAAAAAACACAAATTAATTTTTTTTCAATCGCTGAAAAACGTTCAAACTTCGTCGAAAAACGGAGTCCGTTTAACGGACGAAAATAAAGAAAAATCATGAAAAACACAAATTTTAAAGATTATGGTAATTTTTTTCTTGATTTTTGGAAATTTAAAAAAAAAATAGAAATTTGGAAGTTTTGAAAAAAAATTTGAAAATTTAGAAAAAAATGGAAATTTTCTCTGAATTTTATACCAGCTGTTTTTCCAATTTTTTACTTTTTTTCTTGCTTTTTTTCCTATTTCTTAATTCGCTTTTTTTCTTGCTGCTTTTCCATAAAATTTGAGAGCTTCCAAATAATTAACTTCTATTTTTTTTCTCAGACTTCCTTTTTCCTTCTTTTTCTTTTTTTTTTCTTGTTCTACTTTTTCACCACGAGACTTCCCGAGAGGCGCGCGCAAACGCCTCCCCCCTTTCCCCTCTCTTTCTCTAGCACCCTCCTCCTTGCGCGCACTCTCTCACCCTTCTCTTCTCGTCTCGTCTTGGTATCGATTTTCGGAACGCGTCAGCACATTTCTTTGTTTTTCCTTGTTCTTTTTTTTTTCTCAGAAAATTTACAATTCTCTGCTTCCCTCTGATTCTCTTCTCCATTTTTTCTGAAAATCTTTTGTTTTTCTAGAAATTTTCATTTCCAGGTGAAATGTCCTCAATGGTGTGGAATTTTTTCCAGAAACCCGACTTTCCTGTCGAATACGTTCCGTGTTCGAAATGTAACGTTTTGTTGGCATACAAAGGAACGACGTCTGGCTTGAAGAAACATTTGAAGGCCAAACATTTCGCCGATTATCAACGGATTATGATGCAGAAGGCGGGTTTTTTCTCGAGAAGTCTCGAGATTTTTTTTCTAAATTCTCGGGAAAAAGTTTTGTGATTTTTAGTGAGTTAGAGCAGAAAATGTTTCTCTAAACTTTTTCGAAAATCTTAAATATTCGAAAATATAAAAATTCTCGAGACTTCCCGAGAAATACTGAACATTATTATTTTTCGAAACACCGCTAGAATTTCAGAAAAAGATCACTTTTCAGTCGTTTTCTGAAATCGAAAATCAACGGAGCGTAAAAAATTGGCTTTAAAAAAATTCGGAAAACAAAAGAAATTTTCTTTTTTTTCCAAAAATTCTCGAGAGAGGTCTTGAAACAGCGAATTCCAAAATTAGGTCATAACCTACATTTCCAAAAAAGAGAAAATTTCGACAAAAATTTCTCGAAAAAATTTGATCGAGAAATGTGCTAAACAATGCGCGGTGCGGAATTTCGGAGTGTCGTTTGCGACTTTTTTTTCAGTTTTTTGCCGTTGCTGTCATTGCTTTCTCCTTTATTTTGTCATTTCAAAGTGATGGCCTAACTTTTGCAAATTTGGTTTTCTAGGGCACCACTTCAAAATGACCTAGAAAACATACCAGAGTCATGTTAGGGCGGAAATAGGTAATTTTGAAGTGG